GAAGAGGACTTGAAGCACTTACTGATGAAGATCAAAGACTATAGCCTTCAGTATGGATTACACCTCAATATAAAGAAAAATCCTTACAACTGGACCAATAAGCAATTTCGTGATAAATGGAGAAAAGATTGAAATTGTCAAGGATTTCATTTTACTTGGATCCACAATCAGTGCCCATGGAAGCAGCAGTCAGGAAATCAAATGATGTATTGCATTGGGCAAATCTCCTGCAAAAGACTTTTCAAAGTGTTAAAAACAAAGTTGTCACTTTGAGGACTAAGGTGCACCTGACCCAAGCCATGGTATTTTTCAGTTGCCTCATATGTATGCAAAAGAAGAACTTATGCCTTTGAATTATGGTGTTGGTGAAGAATATTGAATATACCATCATGAGCTGCCAGAAGAACAAACCTGTCTTGGAAGAAGTACAGCCAGAATGCTCCTTAAAAGTGAGGATGACGAGACTTCATCTCACATGCTTTGGACACGGTATTAGGAGGGAGCAGTCCCTGGAGAAGAACATCATGCTTGGTAAAGCAGAGGGTCAGTGAAAAAGAGTTAAGACCCTCAACAAGATGGATTGACACAGTGTCTGCAACAATGGGCTCAAACATAGCAACAATGGTGAGGATGGCGCAGGACTGGGCAGTGTTTTGTTCTGTTGTACATAGGGTCACTGTGAGTCACAATTGACGTCATCTAACAACAACAAACAACAGAGAGAAAATAGACTGAAGAAAAACAGAGCTTCAGAGACACGAGATTGCAACAAAGGATCTAACATTCATGTCATTGGAGTAAAAAAGGAGAGGAGAAAGAAGATGGGGTGAAATAATTTGTGAAAAATTCCCAAATTTGGCAGAAGACATAAACCTACAGATTCAAGAAGGTGAGTGAACCCCAAACAAGATAAACCCAAAGAAATCCACACCAAAGCACATCATAGTCAAACTTCTGAAAACTAAAGCAAAAGAAAAAAAAAGTTAACAGTGAGAGAGAAATGAGGACAGATTACCTATAGGACAAACACAATTCAGTTCACAAGGGATTTCTCATCAGAAACCACGGAGGCCAGAAGGAAGTGGCACAACATTTTTCTAGTATTGGAAGAAAAGAACTGGCAACCTAGAATTCTATATCCAGCAAAATATCCTTCAAGAATGAAGGAAAACTAAGAGAATGTGTTGCTCAGCAGACCTAGCCTAAAAGAATGTCTAAAGGAAGTTGTTGAAACAGTAAATGATAAAAGAAGGAATCTTGGAACATCGGGAAGGAAGAAAGAAAGAGCAAAAATATGTGCAAATAAAATAGACTCTACTTCTCTTGAGTTTTTAAAATTGTTGAAACAAAAATTATAACACTATTGTTTATAAATACATCTAGAGAAAATAAAACTGTTGTAAGTGTGGAAGAGTAAAGGGGCAAAGAGGTAAGATTTCTACACTTAAACTGGTAAAATGTTGACACCAGCACACTGTAATAAGTTATGTAATTACCATTTAATACCTAGAGCAAACACTAGAAATGCTATACAAAGTGATGCACTCAAAAACACTATAGATATATCAAAATGGAATTCTAAAAGCAAAACAAAACAAAAAAGGTTTAAGTAATCAAGTATAAAACAAAAAGTTTACAAAGAAAAAAAAAAAAACTACAGACCAATATCCCTCTGAATATAGATGTAAAAATCCATTTAACAAAATATTAGCAAATAAAATTCAGCAATTTAATCTCATGACTAAATCACGCAGCATATGACCAAGATTTCAATACATATTTTGGAGGAAAACAATTCAATACATACAGAGAGAAATGAGCAGAAGAAATAGATGAAGTAATGATGGCTGAAAATTTGCTAAAACTAATGACATACACCAAACCAGAAATCCAGGAAACTCACAGAACACCAAGCATGATAAATACAAAAAAACTACACTTACAAATACGTATTAAAACTTCAGAAAGTCAAAGAGGAAGTCTTGAAAGAAGCTGCGAGCAGTCAGGGCCAAGATGACAGAATAGTTAGATGCTTCCTGTGGTCCCTCTTACAACAAAGACCCATAAAAACAAGTGAATCAATTATATATGACAATCTAGGAGCCCCGAACATCAAAGATAAAGTTGAGGAGGCAGACTGCACGGTGGGGGGAGGGACAGACAGTTCAGAAGCAGCAAATAAGTGCCAGACTTGAGCTGGTTGGCACCCTGCGGGCTGGATTGGCTGACGCACGTGGGCTGAGGCAAACAGTAGTGCTCGGGATGCATTTCACCACATCGGGAGAGACTGGGCAGGGGGAAGAGGCGCTGGATCTGCGAAAG